AGGATTAATTGATACGTAAATGGAGCAAACTTATAATTGTCTGAAAAACTCATGACCGACGTCCATCTTGGGTGTAGCCTCTGGGAGGCTGTGACTGCCCAACATGTACCTACTGAAAGCCTTCAATAAATACCCACTTTTATTCTCTTAAATTTGGCTAGCCTCTGTTTTAGGTAGCTGTTGGAATCTGAGGTATTCAGATGATTCTGAGATTGTAGAAAGTCTGTCTTTCAGCCCCATTGCCAAAGCAGAAGCCATAATTGGTCTGTGCTGTTTCAAGGTTGTTTATTCTGTTTATCTCTAACATGTTCTGCTGCCCTGCCGCAGCTCTGTCCTGCAGGGCAGCGTGTGGGGCTCTGCCCTCAGTGGGATGGTACAAACATTAAATACCACAAACTACCTGTGCTGGATTTACAATAACGTGCCAATATCTGTCACCTACGTTGGACAGTGTGTCCCCAGCCTGAACCAACAGAAAAATGCCAACACCACAGTGAAACATGGAGGGCATGAAGAAGGAGAAAAAGGACAAGACACACCCAATTTCCTCCATCTTGTCCCCTTTGAACCCCTCATCTAGAATCCTAAAATTTTACTTTTGCGCCCGTGCCACACTTGATTATTGCTTATATCAAACACTCAGAGCTGGTAATTCATCCTGTAAGATTGAAAACTCTTTTCCATGGACAGAGATCACAGACAGTGTCTCTGGGGGCTCTGTCCAGGTGGGTTACTGACCCCTGCCAGGGTCCCAGACCTTCCAGGATGATGGAACCCAGGCCTGGTTCAGGGCTCTGTGTGGTGGAAATTTCTCTCCTCCAGCCCGTGCTTCCAAAGAAAAATTCAGCAGTCTCTTGTTGTTCAGTCTCAAGGCAGTTTATTGCAAGTTATCTAAAAGATTTTCTCCTTGAGCTGCTGTGGTTTGCTCACAGCTCAGGCAGAGGCACACACACACCCTGACATCCTCTCTGACTCCCAACTGCTTCTTCTCTCCCCACCCAGGGCTGCTGCTGTCTTTTATATGGCACATTACGTGTTAAATGTTTACAGTTTTCCCCCAATGCCTATTACCTATATTAAATGGTGCTTTTCTACTCTAAACCAATCCATGAGTGCCAACATCATCAGGAACATGGAGGTAAGGAAGAAGAAAGAGAAGGAACAGGGCCGGCCTACATTCCTCCATCTTAAACCCTCTGACCCCCATGTACAAAACAAACCCCCCCCCCCCTGTACAGGTGTTAAACCCCCCTTGTACAATACTAAAAAATTCTTCCCTCTACTTTAAAACTACTTCTACTATAATATCTAAACTTTTGTGACTTCTTGTTCTTCCTGCAAGGTTGGTAAATCGTTCCATGGTTCAAATCCAAAATCACAGCTGTTTCCAGCTGCCTGCCAGGGTCTCAAATGCTTCTGACCTGGGCCCAGAACATCCAAAAATGTCTGAGGGACATTTTGAGGTCCAACACCACGGCAGCCAGAGGGATGCCCTGGACTCCCACAGGTAGCCACTTCAAGCCATCAGTCCTACTCCCCTAATCTGGATCTTCATCAGAGGCGTTGCTGTGATTTTTCTCCGGCTTCTCCCCAAAGCCTCCCAACCCATCCTGAAACTTTTCTTCCCCTCCCTCCCCAGAGGTTGCAAAGACAGGTGCACAGACACAGAATAACTCCTGGTTGCTCCCTGTCCCGCAGTACGACAAGGAGATCCGCGTGCTCGCCAGGGCCACGGCCGCGCGCGCGGTGCGCAGCCAGCGCCGCGCCGACCTGCCGCTGGCAGCTGGGGAACAGCTGGAGCTCATCGACGCCCTGCAGGGCCACGCCGTCATCTGCCGCAACGCCCAGGGCAGATGTGAGTCTGCAGCCCAGCCCCGCGTGACAAATCTCCCCCCAAACCACCTCCTTCGTGCTCAGCCACCTTGGCCCAGACTTTAATTCCCTTCCTTTTCCCTCCTCCCTCAGATGGGTACGTTCTGGTGGAGCACTTGAACTTCAGGTAATCTCGGGTTTTTATTTATTATGATGTATATTCTCCTCTCTTTCCTGTGTGGGGATAGCTGGAGAAATGTACTTAAAACTTCTGAAGGCAGGGGGAGTTAACATAATGTAAACAGCCAGTATTAAATATTAAATAAGTATTTCCAGTTTTGCTCTGCTGCTGGGTGAGTTTCCAGTCCAACTGCAGCTAAAAAAAGCCCTGTCCAGTCATGACTTGTATAAATTGGAGATTCCTGACTTGCCTTCAGATATGCCATATTAATCCACATCTGCTGCAAACATGGGCCACTCAGTGTGCCTTGCCTTGCCAAAACACACCCTTAAATTCCCTGCTGCAGCATTTCCTTGCATGCTCATGCATAATTTATACAAATGAGCCTCCTCTTACCCAGGTGGCCCTTGCTGGGAAAATTCCTTTTTTTTTTTTCTTTGAGACAGTACTAACTGCCCTGAGAGCTGCTCTCCCCTGGAGCATCCCTGAAGGTCTCTTGTGCTTCCTGCATCCGTGACAGCCCATGTTGGTCATCTGTGGGGTGATGATGGGAATGTAAATAAAGCTGGAGTTTTTTTACACTATTTAATGTGCAAGAGATGTTTCCTTCTTTTTTTTTTTTTTTTTTTTCCTGCCATTTACAGCATGTCTTGACTGATTATTATTTTCAGTATTTTTCACTTTTTGAAATATCTTGTTGGTCAGCTCTGAAACAGCCATTATATTTCTACATTTTAAGAAAAAGAATAGCGCAGTTTACTTGCTCAATCTCATTTCTGTCAGAACTGCAAGTTTCCCCAAAAGATTTGCTCTTTAAAAAGCAAACCATATAAATTGGAACTGGTTTTGGTCTTAGAAGTATTGGGAGAAGCAGTATGTATCACCACTCTTGCTGTGTTAAATATATAAAATAGTGGAAAAGTTGACTCATTTCTTTGCAAAAATAATATGAAAAAAGAGTAAAAACAGCATTCAGTCAAAAATTACTTTATTTTTTTAAGCTAACTTAGGCATCCCAGATATGTAAAAGCTGACTCCTGGCTCCCAAGGACTCGCAGCAACAGGGAATTACCCAACAGTTGCCCCTGTGTTCAGGCTGCTCTCTCTCCACCGTGGGCCTGGAGGATGATTACCTATTTTCAGAAAAATGCTCCTAAATGTAGGAAGAGAAATATAAATTTCTAATGGCTTCTCCTCCATGTATTCAGTAGATACCTTTACAAAAGTGAAAAAAAAAATGTGGATAAAGTTTTTACATGGCTTTGAAAGAAAATAAACCCTTAAATATGACCGTAGTGTACAGCTTTTACCCCTTCCTGGCACATTTTAGGAGCCCATATCAGTTTGCTCATAAATATCCTAAAAATGTAAGATGTTTTAATTAGAAATTATTAAATGTTCCAGGCTTAAGAAAAATAAAAGCCCTGTTTGCCACAGGGCCATTTCAAAGCTGGCATAGGAGACATCAGTAAAGAAAACAGAGCAAATATTTAACATTTACTTTTAAGTCTATACAGGCATTATTTATTTTACCATGTGGTTACTATTAAGTGCATTGGCCTGCATCCATCCTTGCAGCAAAAAAAAATAAATAAAGCACTCCTCTGTAAGCATGCGCAGCTTTGCAGCCCTGCCAGCCCAAATATTTGGATTTTTTCTGGTGGAGAGGGAGAGTTTGGGGAGCTGGAGTGCGTGTTTGGCTTTGGCACAGGCTGGGACGTGCTCTGTGCCCTTCACCTCCATCCCTTTGCAGGGAATTGGCCCCAGGGAAATGCTGGAGATGGGTTCTCCACAGGGTTGGTTTTTTTTTTCGTGGTGATATTTAGGATTAAAACCTTGAAGAAAACACCCCCTTCCTCCACTCCTTCCTCATCCTCCTCCCCACCAGCGCTCGTTCATAACTCATGATGTCTATTCATCACCCCATCTGTAAGTAGAAGGGGCAAATCCTGTATTAGCCACGTGTGCAAACTCTTTTTTGCCTCCCAAGGAAGTTATTTACCAAGTTTCTGTTATTTTAAAGGAAGGGTTTTTTAGGAATCTCCCCCTGTATCCTGTGACAGACGTGATGCGGCCCCGATCCCGGTGCTTGGGAGGTTGTGCCCGAATCTCTGGGAAACACAAACTTCTGCACTGCCAGAGGCAGCTGATTTAATGCAAGGATGCCTTGAAATACCCTTAGAAATGTTTTTTGTTCCTCATGGACACATTCCAGTGCATGCAAAGAAGAAAAGAGCTTGCTATGGGCTGACTCCAGATAATACAAAAAATGTTTTAGATACAGCAACTTCGATTTCCTCAATTAAACCACAGGTTGGCTATATTTAGGTCAAGAGATTGGTCAGGAAATTAAACTCATCCTTTTTTTTTTTTTTTTTTTCCCTTTTATAGTCTTATTGGTACATCCTAACCACATCAAAACTTACAATAATTCTCATGTGAGTGTTAAACCCTGTTCCTCCACGTTTCTCCTCAAAGGGGAAATAATCATGATAACAGCTGTGACTTGATGAGCCTGAGGGAGAACTGAAATTGTGTAAAAAGGGGATAGGATAGGGACAAATCTGGAGCACTCCCTGCAGCTGTGTGCTTGAAATGGAGTTACATCCTCCAGTTACATCCTCCTGCATCACAGGCACAGAGGAAACAGGTGCCCAGTTTTGTCCCCAACACTTTTTCTGCAGTGAAAGGTTATTTTTGCATGATTCTCTTTAAAATGCTTCTCTCTCTTTACTCCTTGCTGTAAGGAGTGAAGATCTGAGTCAGCACATGTAAATACATAGGCCTGACTCCTGGCATGGATTTTGGGTTGGGGGAATTGTTTAAATTACTCATGTGGAAATTTTAACTACACCTCCTGCCCCTTTGTCCCCCACCAAGCCCTGAGGGCATCTGTGGACCCACAGCTGGGATGTGCAAGGATCTCCAGAGGGAAATTCCATCAGCCAACCCCAGCCTGCAGACTGGGACTGTGCAGTAAGGAAATCCAAAGGATTTGTTGCTTTTATCTCTTTTCATCTCTGAGTTTATTAAAGTGCAAATGTCAACCATGGAGACAGCTATCACATGCAGTGCAGTACACCAAGAAACACTTTCCACACCATAAATGGAAGGAAAAAGGCTTCGTTGTGATTATCTGATGCACAAAGGACAAAACTGAACCAGGGCTCTGTGCCCTCCCATAACAGAAAGTATTACAGCCATGAACTGGGAAACAAAACCCTCTCCAGGCCCTCAGCTGACAAAATAGAAAATATCAAGAATAATGGAGTGTTTATAGAGCCCAGGGTTTTTTTTTCTGAGCTTCATGTTAATGATATGTTTGAAGGGATGCTTCTACTCAGAACTTTTTAAAGTTCGGTATCTTTTTCTTAAAATTATAAATACATAATATTATAAATCATAAAATACTCCTTAGAGTATGAATTTAAGAATTGCAGTGGACAAGTCCAGTTTACCTCTCTCATAGAGCTGAGGTTTGTCTGCCCAAAGATGCTGGGCCAAGGACACCACAGAAATCCTGGGATTCAGTTTTGCTTTGTGCGCTAAAAGAAGAAAAACAAAAATGCATTGAGGTACAAACCACGTGAATATAACATGATACAGAACACATGAACATGCCTTCAGCAACAAGAATAAATATTACCATGGCTACAGGATCTACTTCACAGCTTCGTGAGATGAGGATAAATAAACTATTTCCAAACTTTAAAAAAAAAATAATAATCAGAGATGAGTCTTACAAATAAACTTTGATTTTTAAATTAAGGCAGCTTCAGCAGGAACTTCAAGGCTTTTGTTGAAAACAGACTCTAACACCAAAAGTGTACTCGTGCTTGCAGGTAGGGCTCTGATTCACAGTCTAGTTCTCCTAATTTTGACAATTAAAATGAGCAAAGATCTGTGCATCGAATACCAGGTGTGCTCTCTGCAAAAGTTCCATCAGTAGGTGTCATGTGGGAACTCTGAAACCCAGCTCACCTCTCAGGCATGGGACTGAGGTACCTCTGGCTGAATCATTAACTCCATGGCCGGGAGGCAGACTGGGAATTCAGAATTACAAGAAGCTGTTGCGTTTTTTTTTTAAATAAGCGAATGATGAAAAAGGGATATATAAGGGGAGGGCTAAGGAAGCCAAAGGAAAGCACTAAATTAAAAGCCCATACCAAAGTAAGACCTTAAGAAAGGTGACTCTAGTAAGGTCCATCATATACCTGGAACAAAACCAGATCCTAAAACTTTCCAGGAAAGAAACAGCAGGAGCTCGAGCGGGGGTTGGCTTGGCTCATCCAGATGTGCGATTCTTCTTCCCTCTCTCCTCTCAGCTCATAAAAGGGTGAAGCCAAATAATTGCACAACAAATGGTACTTCAAGTATTTAGAAACACGGCCTGCATGTCTCAGAGGGGGGATCCTGCACGAGCTGGGGAAATTGTGCACCTCGTGAAACAAAGCTGCCACTTCCAGCAGTCCCAACGCGCAGCGAAGGCACGAGTTCACGTCCTGCTCACAGCCCCCTCTTCCTCCTACAGGGCTGCACGCTGACAGCACAGAGCAGTGAAATGAAAAGGAGTAGACAGAAGGGTTATTTTGTTCAAACCTCATCTATTCCAACACAAACGCCACTATAATCACACACAGAAAGGTATACACAGCACACACTAACCAGCTGCTTCACGTTTTTACAACACTGCCCACATATTCCCCTGTGCTTGTACGCACCTCGTGAAATGCTAAACTGGACACACAGCTGAAGATGCATTTCTGACCCGTTGAAGGGAAAAAAAAAAGAAATATCCTGCTGCCTTTACCTGCTCAGCTCCAGCTCCTGAAAATAAACCTGCCCCAAACTCCATCAGCACCAGGGCTTTGGCCAGCAGGGGTGGGAGGGCAGGAGTCTCACAGCTCCTGATGCCACCTCCCCTCCCAGCCCTGGCCAAGGCCATGCTGAGCCTGATGGGGTGAGCTAAGCTACTCATGGGCTTTACCTAAAGGAGGGTGTAAAAGTAGCATTCCCTTTGTCCAGGTCCTCTCAGAGGCTGGGATTAGTGAGGGGTGGCAGTGTCCAGGGCACACACCTGCCCTGCTGGAAGAATAAAGCTGAGAGGTCAATGACAGGGATGCCACCTATATTTTTTTTTATATGCACGTATGCATATATAATATTTACATCTATATAGCTTCCAACAAGAGCAGCACAAGGTATTTCTGAATTAACTCATCCAGGAGCTGGAGGTTTCTCTTGGAGCCCATCTGAACTCTTTACCCTTTGCATTTTGTCTCCCTCCCCCTCGGGCTGAAGCAGAATGTGGGTGAGCTTGTGGCTTGCAAAGCACAGCTGTGCAGCGGCTTCTGAAGAATTGCACTTGGAGTAATTCAAGTTTCTGTAGTTCAAATATTGTCTACCCTGCTTTTCCCAACGCTTGTGCAAGTACCAGCATAACTCAAAAAGAGCTGACCACAGTGTAACAGTGTGGAAGTTAAACTCTTCCTCTGGAAAATGTCACTGGAGGTCAGCAGCTCCTCTGCAGCTGGGAAACAGAACACGGCCTATTTGAAGGTAAAATAAATAATAAAAATAAGTGAAAGTCCTCAGAGTGTTCCGAAGTGCAGCACGGATTTGGGCAAGGCTGTGATGGACCGTTCAGCCCGACCTGGTCACTGGGGGGGTGCTTCCACCAGTCCTGCTCCCTGCACTGCCTCTGCTGAGCCTGAGCTGGGGAGTGCTTCATCCCTTTGTGTCTCTCCATATGGAAAGCTGAGTAACTCTGCCTGCCCTCCAGGCAGGACTGGCTCTGCAGATCCACACAGCAGTTAATGTTTGCACGGGTCGGAGAAGATGCCAAGTGCCACAAGGGGCTTATTCTACAACCTAGAAATCCCACCCGCCTCCAGGAAGCGAATATTTCCTCCCAAGGGCATTTGCTGCTGCTTAATACTATTAGTTCTGCTGGGTAGGAAATCCCAGAGGACAAAAGTCAATTTGAAAAAAGACATCAGTACATCTACCTTCTCCTGAGCCCCAGACTGCAACACACCAGCCCCTTATCAAGGGGGCTACAGGTGCTGCCAGGACTTGGCAAGATGCTCAGCGGGGAGTGAAGATTTGAAAAGCCTTTAACATTTGAAATACATTTCACTCATTGCTGCTTCCTGGATGGAAATGAATGCCTGGCCCTACAGCTGCTCCTGCTCCTTTGCAAAGGGGTTTATCCCCATCACCCCAAACCATTCAGGGCTCTTTGCTCATCTCAGCCTTGATCCAAAAGCTGCTGAAGGGTTGGGTGCTCCTCAGCTTTGACTCTGGGGTGGGGTTTGGTGGGGTTTTTTTGGGTTTTGTTTTTTTTTTTTTTTGCATGCAGGAGTTTGAATTCTCCATCCAAACTCACACCACAGCACTGGGGACAAAAATCACCTGGCAGCCACCAGGCACAGCACCAAAGCCATCCTCACCCCAGAGTACTTATTTAATAATCATAATGTAATAAAAGGCTCATTACAAAACCTAGGAGCACTACAAATATTTCCAGTATTTCTTACAGTCCAACCACTGCTGTGTTGGATTTAGTGTTCAAGAGCTTAACAACAAAACTGATTTTTTTTTCTAATTTTTTTTTCTTTTTTTTTGGAAGCTTTCTACTTTGTGCGGCTTCTGGAAAAATTGCAGTTGTAAAGTCATGTTAGTGAGGATCCAAGCACAACCTGTAACAAAAGTAAGGCAATTTTGTGGTTCTTTTTAAAAAAAAGGGACTTCAAACTGAATAGGTCCATTTAACTGCCAGTAGATGGCAAAAATATCCCGTGTTTGTCTGGATTACCTTAAATGATTAGTAAAAAAGGATTAATTTGTTGTTCTTTTCCTTGCTTCTCATACAAACCTGCAGAAAGTATAAATTAAAGTGCAACTGTACAAAAAAAAACCCTAGGAAAAAACCTCAAGGGGTCATAAGAAGATATCAAAAAGACAGATCACATTATTTTTCAAGTTGAATGACTGCATACCTGGGACTAGCGAAAGTTCTTTGCTTTGTTTCTTAAAACAAAACATTTTAAAAAAAAAAAAAAAACAGAACAAAACCAAACCCCCCATCCAACATTTTTTTGGCAAAGCTTTCATAAAGCATTTGTTCCTTGATTAGACTATTACTTCATAATCAAGTAAATGGAATTAAATACCATGTAAAAGCCCAGCAGATGCCAACGCTGCCTATTAGATTAATCCCGTGTAATAAAAAATAATAACTCTTTTAAACAAAGAAGTCACACATGCATTAGGGTAAGAATTTAACCTTAAAAACCCCCTCAGTTCATCTTAAAAAATAAAATCCCATCCTTCAGATAGCCAGTAGCAAAGGAACAGTAAAATTCCGGGTTGGGATATCCCTGCCTGGTCAGCGGAGCAGTGAAGGTCACAGTCCAGTGGGCAGCAGCAGGATGGGAGAGCCCTTGGGCAGGGGCAGCGAGTGTCCAGCAGCAGGGAAGGCAGATTTGGCAGCGATTTTGGGCAGGTGGCAACAGGCAGAGCTTCCTAGGGGAAAGGTGAGAGGTGAGTGCTCCGGAGCTGTGCGCTGCTGATGGCTCCTGCCCATCAGGGACCATCCCAGCCCGCGGGGGAGTGCTGGGGTCTCAGCTGGGTGATCCAGATCCTGTCCTCTGCTCACCTGCACCCTGCTTGGGGTTCACCAGGGGAGGGGGAGCAGGCTGGAGGGAGGTGAGGAAAGGCAATCTGCCTTCAGCTCCGAGCTGGCGAGCAGGTCAGTGCTGTCCAGAGCCCTTGGGCTAAATAAAGCACCTTAGGGACACTCCTCTGCAAAGAGTGGACAGGGACAAAGAGTGCACCTTAGGGACACTCCTCTGCAAAGAGTGCACCTTAGGGACACTCCTCTGCAAAGACTGCACCTTAGGGACACTCCTCTGCAAAGAATGGACAGGGACAAAGAGTGCACCTTAGGGACACTCCTCTGCAAAGATTGCACCTTAGGGACACTCCTCTGCAAAGAGTGGACAGGGACAAAGAGTGCACCTTAGGGACACTCCTCTGCAAAGAGTGGACAGGGACAAAGAGTGCACCTTAGGGACACTCCTCTGCAAAGAGTGGACAGGGACAAAGATTGCACCTTAGGGACACTCCTCTGCAAAGATTGCACCTTAGGGACACTCCTCTGCAAAGAGTGGCCTCCCCACAGCAGGTTTGCACCAGGACCTTTGCACATCCCACCTTCCCTGCCCATCTTCAGCAGAGGGAAAAAGAGAGGGGAGGGAGGTGATATTGCACTAGTGCAGAAGCATCTAAGCAGCTGCTGCTTTAGGGAGAAAAGGGTTAGAGGGGCTGGTACCTGGGTGTGAACACTGCAGAGCTGTTTCATCACCCTCCACTCCATCTCACAGAGCTCTGGGTTAACCCCTCTGCCCTGGCTCAGCCCAGCCTGCCCCTGCTCTGCACAGCATCAGGGAAACATCAAACTCCACACAGAAAGCATGGCTATGCCTCCATCACCTCAGGATGAACCAGGGGGGAGGTGTTTTCCAAAAACTCAGCGATAACGTTTGTTACTTTACAGCCTTAACATTTCCCACGGGGTTCACAAGGAAAGAAAAAAAAAACAAAAAAAAGGTATTGGATTCATTTCTCCAGGCACAAGGAGAGATTTGAAGTTAATTTCCTTGGTGCCTCGCTAGAGGGGAGCACATTTTGGGTCTGGACTTGGCTCTGTGGGGCAGTGAGGGGAGGAGGAGGAAGGAAGGAAGGACGAGTCGTTGCGGATCCTCGCAGCGCGCAGAGGGGCCGGCGCATCAGCGGGCCAGGGCCATGATGAGGCTGGCACACATCTCGAAGAAGTCCATGGTGTGGCTGCCCAGGCGAGGGGGCACCGAGGGGATGCTGCCCACGAAGGAGCCGCTCAGGGAGCCCATCAGAGACTGGCACTCGGAGGCCGCGGCCGCGTCGATGCTCAGGCGCGGCCGGTGCAAGCCCGCGGCCGAGCAGGAGCGCTGCGGCGTGGAGGAGCCAGACCTCTGCTCCATCACCTCGTCTTGAAAAGCCAAAAACAACCAAAAAAAGGCAGAAGAGAGAAAAAGTGGGGTTAGTTTGGCAGCTGCAATGCAGGTGTGGTAATGATACGGGGACAACAGCAGAGAAGGATGGCTCGAAAGGGCTTTCGCTGAAATGACACACGTGTAAGCGCTTCAAAATGCAGAGGATGGTTCTTAAAATTCCAGCCTCGCCCTTCTACGTGTTCTCCATCTCCCACTCACCATCGATGCTTTTGAAGTCCAGCAGGTAGCTGCGGTTGTCCACCTGGTAGAGCTGCAGGCTCATCTTCACGTAGTTGCCGGTCACGGGGTTCTTGCGGCGCACCCGCAGGTGGTAGGCGTTCACCACCTGCAAGGGGAAAGCTGCCCTCAGCTGGGACACTCCAGGCAGCAACAGGAACACTTCTTTCCTTATTTTTTCTAAATATGAGCAAGACATCTTCTGCGCAAAACAGTTTCCCAAAAGGAAAACCCCCATAAAACGAAGCAAACGGCTTAGTTTCCTCCGATCTTTAAATATTCTTCTTAAGGCTGTGATTCACCAGCTGCTGGCTGAGGAAGCTGCAGTGACCCATCTGCCAGGCACAAAACTGATGTTTGCTCCTCCCTCAGCAGCAGCCATGGCCACACAGACCAAAAGGTCCACTCGTGGGCCCACACACACGGGCAGTGCTCGTGACATCAGGGCAAGCTGGGCAGAGCAGCCTCACCCATCAGCACAGCTAAACCCAGTGCTTGTGGATCAGCCTCAAGCTGAGTATTTCCCCTCGCTGCTTCCCACCTCACAATCTGCTGCATCGCATTTACAATGAGATCTTTTCTCGGTGTCGTATTTATGAAGCAACTGCGTGGATGGGAGAGTTAATTCTGATGAAGAGTCACATCTGAAGTTATTCTTAGGGTGGGAAAGGCTATTGTGAAACCTCCTCGTATGAAATAAGCGCCACTGCCTACACAGAGATGTTGGGCTGAGTTGGTTTTTGAGGCTGTAACAGAAATACAGCAGGTTTGTTCACTCCCTGTACAACCATGCAGCTAAAAAATGTCAGGCTGGTGTGGGCAAATGCACCTGGCCACCACCACCACCTGGTCTTGGTGCAGGGAAATGGGGTTTCCTGGAAGCTACTTGGTTTTAAAGATGTAATATTATCAAAAATAAGGAGGAGGCAGGAGGTTTTAAAGAAGCAGCACAGTGAAATTCACACAGCACAATGCTTGGGACCTGGAGGGAAGGAGGAGGGGAGCCCCTCTGGTGAGGAAGATCTGGGCTGAAATTCTCCTTACCTTGCTCCTGATGCTCACATGATGCTGCTGCCAAAGGCCACGAGCCAGGAGAGCTCACCTCAGGGGCTGCACCAGGACTGGGGGAGTCAGGCACAGCAGCAGAGCTCCAGGGCTAACTTAGGGATTTATTACTCCAACTTTGAAAAGGACTCTGACTAAATGTTGCACAGCCCTGGAGAAATACCTGCAGTGAGTACTGTCAGCTAAAACATCTGGGTTTAAATCAAGAAGCTGAGCTAAACTCAGGAAGCAGTAAGTGTCTGAAAACACATCTGGTTTGTGAGGACTGCTGCATCTCCATCAAGGAAAAGGCCACCACCACATCAATGATACAAATTCTGCACCCAAGGCCCCCTGCCCCTCATCTGTGCATCCTCTAGGACAATTTGTACTGTACCATTTCGGTCCTGTCAGGACCAGGCAGAAATAATGAGAGTTCCTCTGCTCAGGAGCACTCAAGATGACCTCGCAAGGAATTAGCCACTAAAATCAGAAATGTGAACAGCTCCCCTTATCCCTACAGCCAAACAAGGCGGAATCATCTTTCCAGCTGAAGTCTTGGAGCCCTCAGAAAGAGCCCTTATTTCACGCCGTAAATAAACACCACAAATAAGCACAGCTGGCACCTTAACTCAGTGAGAAGGAATAGCAGGGATGATTGCAAGGAGGGGGCATTTATCTGGAAGGTGAGGCTGTAAGCACACTTCCAAACCCCCCTGAGTTTACGGGATGCAGGATGCTGGAAACCCACCCCAGCACTCCCTACCTTCCACTCGAAGTCCAGCTGCTTCATGGCCCGGTACACCTCGGCCATAATGTCGTAGGGTTTGCTCTGGCTGCGGATCCCCAGGTGCCACTTGGCCTTTTTGACAGTCAGGGGCTTTGGCTTGGTGGTGTTGAGGGCGTCCAGGGGACAGCGAGCCTTGGGGCTGTCGGCGATGAGCGGCGGCATCCGCTCGGGGTGCGGCTTCACGCCCGGGGGGATGTGCAGGGCGCTGTCGTCCATGAAGGAGCCGGTGGGGGGGCTGGAGGCCAGGTAGAACTCGCTGGCCTGGTTCATGATGCGGCGGTTGTCGATGACCAGGTGGTAGGCCACGGCCAGCTGGTCCTGGGGGTCGCCGCTGTAGAGGCTGTTCAGCACCTCCGACTCGGTGCACTCGAACTTCTCGCACACCTCGCGCACCGCCTCGTCGTCCACCACCGTGGCGTCGTAGGAAGGGTCCTCCGGGAACAGGTAACTGGGCAGCTCCTCCTTGAACCACTCGTGTTCCCTGGGGAAGGCAGAGGGGAGCGCTGATGTGAGAGGGGAAGATGGGGAAAGCACCAGCCAAGAGCAAACCCAGCTGATGAACGAGGAGCAAAACCCAGCCCGGCACAGGGACAGCAACTCCGCACGCTGGGAGGTGAAGTGAGACCTCAGCACTTCCAAGGTTCTCACACTTTGAGATTCCCATGGAGATACAGAGCATCAAACCTACCCAATTCCCATGCCCAATACCCAATTCCCACCAATTTACAATGAGGTGAACGACAATTGTCTAAAACACACAGTTGCCTTGTCTACAGGTTCTGTGTACTGACAGTATTCTCACCTCGTGTGCTGCCTAACATGTAATTAAATCCTCTCATCCTAAGGAATTAAGAAATAAAAAAGGAAGTTTGCATGGGTTTGCATGAAGGGTAAAATTGAGGCCATCCACTGAAAATGCATTAAAAACCTGAGAACTCCTGTAAGCCCTAGTAACATTTATGTTCCTGCTTAGCACATAGCTAGATGTAATACATCCAATATCCACATATTAAGTTAGTAAGTCTTGGGTTCCTCCTCCTTTTCTTTTGGATATACAGTAAGTACAATGATTACCCCCTTTATCTGGTGCCCATAGGGACGTGGTATTGAAATATAGTAATGAAAAATGGCTGTTGGATATTAAGTTCTTGGGATTATTGCATGCTCTAGCAATGGTTTTGCCAAATGCTATTAAGAGATTTTTAAGGCTAGCTTATAATGCAATAAAATAGAATTTTCAATATTTGTATATAAAATATGTATATATAAAATCCTCATCCTGTTCATCATCACCCACTTCCAGCCAGCACAGAAGGGGTGCAGGGCTGCTCCTTGAATCACCTGGGACAAAAACCACCTGGATTAGCTGACTACCCCTGCCCACCTGCCAACAGGTGACCCCCAGGACAGTCACCAGAGACCCCCACAGGCAGCCAGCCCACCGCAGCCCACCTGATGTCCTTGATGGTGGCTCTCTTGAGGGGGTCCACCTGCAGCATGTGCATGAGGAGCGTGGCCACGGAGCGGTTGAGGTATTCAGGGATGTAAAACACTCCCCCACGGATCTTCTTGAACAGGGTGGGGACGTGCTCGTCGTCAAAAGGCAGAGTGCCACACAGCAGGGCGTACAGGATGACACCACAGCTCCAGATGTCCACCTCTGGGCCAGCGTAGAGCCTGCACGAGGACAAGGGCAGGAGAAAGCTGTCACCACCACCCTCTCCTCAGTCAGGGTGCAGGTTCTGTGTCACCACCACCCTTTCCTCAGTCAGGGCGCAGGTGAGGGCACCTATTGTAAATGCAGGCGAACACAATGGGAAGAAATGAGGATGTCTGACTCAATTCAGAAGGCTGAATTATTTATTTATTATAACTATGCTAAAATACAGTAATATACTATATAAAAGGAAGATACTAAAACAACATACTATTTTCTCTAACTCTAACACAACTCATGACCCTCTCTGAGTCCAGCCCCAGGTGGGTTGGATTGGCCATCAGGCTCAAACAATCCTCACCAGAGTCCAACCAAGCACTCATTCCAGGTAAACAATTCTCCAAACACATTCCACATAAGAAAAACAAGGAGTAGAAATATAAATTGTTTTCTCTTTCATTTCTCTCTGTGCACCTTTATGAAAAATCCTGAGAGAAAAAGAAATGTGCTTGCCACAGGCACCCCCTGCCAGCTCCAGCAGGGACAGAGCTCCAGCCCACACCAGGGCTGCTCATGTGGCTCCCCCCAAACTAAACCTGCCTCAGCCAAAACTGCTCAGGGAAATGAATGGCAGGGCTGGCACAGGCTGCCCACACTCCTGTGTTCAACCCTGCCTCCACCAAACTCTCCAAAAAGCCAAACCTCACATTTCCAAGAGCCCTGCCAGGCTGTTTGCTCCTTTGCCCTGAGGGCTCAGCCAGAAATTTCTGTTCATTGAAGGAGGCAGATCAAACAGCAACAGATAATTCTATCTCTGAGCGTTTATTTTTGGTGTGCTCCTGCTTCTGACAAGCTGCCAAACGTGCTCTCTGCCATCACCAACTCAGGACACCCCAAATAATACAGTTTTGCTGCTCCTGCTCATCTCTTTTTGCTACATCTGATGCCTCCCCAGAGATTTTGGGAGGCAACACTTGCCCTTGGGTTGTGAGGCCCAACCAAAATACAGAAGGTGAAACACTACTACTGAAGTCCCTTCACGAAACCTGCACTCGCTCCTCCTGAAAAGCATCACTGCAGACATATCAGTGTGGAAATCCTGCTGGTCATGCATGTGACCATCCTCTGAACACCCCCAAAACATTGGGTCTGCTTGTCCAAGGCTGAGACTTTCCCTGCTGAGGCCAGGGACAGCAGCAAAGCCATTTTGGAAAGGCAGAGGCTCAGCTGGATGCCCCTCAGCCCTGCCTCCATGCCAACTCCCACAGATGAGAAGACTGATTGTTCTGCTGATAAAAGCACTGCCTGAACAGTTTTTTGGACCTTTAAGAGCATTGAGACACACTTTTATGGCTCTGAAACCTGAGCTGTCAGTCTCTACTGGTTTTGTGCTCCAGCAGGGAAGGCAGAGGAGCCAGGAGTCAGCTCCCCCTGCCCCACACACCCACCAGCAGGGCAGGGAGGGGGGATTGTGCCTGCCCCCTCAAATGCAGCTCTGAGCAGAGGCCAGCTTGGCACAGGGAGCAGGGCCATGAAATTCAGGCAGCCCTGAGCCTGTAGGTGGGAGGGATGAGGGAGGGATGCAGCTGCAGCCAGCCAAACAGTGCAACATGTGGGCTTGGTTTTGGTTTTCCTTCTTAATTCTGTTGTCACTAAGCTGCATTGCCTGCACCCTTGGAACACTCAAGGACTAAATCCTCCTTGCTGATCTGCCCTGTGCCTTGCCTCCTATACAAATTGAAAAACACGTGTCTGGCCTTCACTGAGATGGAAATACTATTATTATTTTTTTGGAATCCCAGTAGTTTCTGGCTTTTTCTCCTTCTTGGCAATGAGGATTTACTCGGTTTCATTTCACAGACAGAGCTGTAGTCACAACAGGGTTTCTGGATGCTAGTCTAATTCCTGGGGTGCTCTGCCAACACTTGCTCTGGTGTAAACAGGGATAAAATAATCAAAATCACAGCAAACACATTCCAAACAAAATGTTCTACTTAAAAGCTACAGATATAGGCAAGAAATATACTGGATTAGGAAAAGTGAAGCTCATGGCAAAGGGAGATTAAAAAAAAAAAGGGGTAGATAATGAGATGGGCAGTTTGAAGGACCATTCAGAGGACTGAAAATTTGAAAATCTGTATCTGCAATCTTTGCTAAGGTATTACAGAGAGAACTAGGGCAAAATGTACATTCTATGTATTTTCTGTTCCTCTGTATCAACACGTGGAAATCCAATTCAACCTTGTGGGGTGTGCCAACCCTCCGTGTGCTGTACAGATGTTTCATGCTGAGGGATGCAACCACAGAGGAGGTTTGTCAATTCAATGAATCAGTTCAAAACAAAGCTCTGAAGGTTGAACCTACTGCCATAGCCAAAACCCCAAGCTTAAGGAACCAGAAGACAAGTATTTTTTTTACCAGTGTTGGAATGGGATTAAAGATCTTCCTGCTTCTTTTGTTAGTGAATGGTTTTCCTCATTAACACTGTGTTTTATATTACAGGTGGGCAGGAGAGGAGGGGGTGGCCTGGAAAAGCCTTTCCACCTGGAACCTCAGTATTTGCATCCAAAGAGTCATTTTCACCCTCTTTAATTAGCAATATAAACAGTCAACATCTGGTATTAATAATTCCTCCAAAGTAAACACCTGTAGCAAAACACAGTTTGCTATTACAGCTACTGAGCAGTAAAATCACCAAGAAAACCTTCAGATCTCTGCCAACAGATTCACCCAAACACCAAATCCAGGTTGGAAGGATTCAGCTACTTTTACTAGATGTGCAAAGCTGTTTCCAATATCAAGAACAAATTTGAACTCCATGTGCTCACATAGACTCTGATGAGAAATGGAATGTCTTACCTTCCAGAGATGACTTCAGGGGCTGCATAATTTGGGGAACCACAGCTGGTGCGCAGAAATTCACCATCTGACATCATGTTGGACAGTCCTAAAAAAAAAAAATAATGCTTATTATACACTGATGTTTGATCTGAAGGTCCAGATGTGCTGGACCCCATGTCACACAGAGGAAAGGCAGGGAAGTGGAGTGGGATATTTGGAAGGGAACTGTTGATAAAATTTAGATAGACTTCTCTGACCTGGTTTGAAAGTTATTACTTTTGTTGTTATTGTTGTTGTTTATTTTTGTTGGGCTTTTTTTTTTTTAACCAACAAAGAAATAGTCACTCCAGGCTAATTTTGCTCCTCTAAGTTGCAAATCACAGAGCACGGAGGGGAAGAGACATAATTCATCCCAGAGCACTTAGTTCATATGGCAACTGGGTGGGGCTGTGAAATGAGTAAATCTTCAGAAGGATTTACATTGCTAGAAAGGACTCACCAGGACAGAGCTGGTAGCCCAGGTATTTTAATGGATTTCAATCCTTAATGCCACTTAAGAGCCTCCTGTTACTGCTGGTTGTAAAATGAACTGAGGCCAAGAGCACATGGCCAAACAGAGGGAGAACATGCAGGAAAATAAACACACACGGCCAGCTCCCCCTGAAGTAGCTGCACCCAGCCTGCCTCAAACACAAACGAGGCAAACCTCAGTGGGGTGATGACACTAAAACACGGCAGAGAGGCACAAATTAATTCTCAGTGCCACTCCAGGAGCAGCCTGCAGGAAGGGCAGGGTTCCCAAGGGTGCATTTCCAGGTGCTGGGGGCCGGGGCAGCAGCTCTGGGCTCTGTGCCTCTGGAATGCTGCTGGGCTCACATACCAAAATCAGCGATCTTTGCATTCATGTGTGCATCCAGCAGCACGTTCTCTGGCTTCAGGTCCCTGTGCACCACCATGTGCCTGTGGCAGTAATCCACTGCAGAGAGGATCTGCTGGAAAAGGCGCCGAGCTTCTGCCTCCTCCACCTGGGGGAACAGCAATGGAGCGGGGTGTGTGTGGCAGGCATTCTTCTCTCTCTCAGGATTTTTTCACAGAGGGAAGAAAGAGAAAACAATTGCTATTTCTGCTCCTTGTTTTTCCCAAGTGGAATGTTTTTGATGAATTGTTTACCTGGGGTGGTTGCTTCCTTGGATTCTGGTGAGGATTGTTTGAACCTGATGGTCAATCCAACCAACCAGGGCCTGCACTCTCAGAGAGGGTCACGAGTCATGAGGTAGTTAAATATGGTAGTTTAGTATCTCCTTTAAATAGTATATTAATGTATTATAGTACAGTTAGAATAAAAAAACATTCAGCCTTCTGGAGTCAGACATCATCATTTCTTCCCACCGGGTTCACCTGCATTTACAATAGCTGTGCACTCAGGCAGGGGAAGGTTTCACTTAGCAAGGAGCCAAAAAGCTTCCAGAGTGCAGAGGGAAAATCTGCCAGCTTGCCTGTGAGCAGAAGCAGTAAATAAAGCAGATTTCCCACCCTTGCATTTTACAATGTGCCAGTGTTTGAAAATGATACGGCCCAGAGATGAAAGGTGAGACCTCAGCTCAGCTGAGATGCCAACAGGAATCTGAAGGCGGCACCTATCAGACAATGAGCTGCTGTCCCAATGGGACTGGAACAGATCCAAGCTGGACAAAACACCACAGAGGATGCTGCTGGGAGCAATTCCTCATGGACTTCCTCTGGAAGCAACAGGTGAAGCTGGAATATCATGGTGATTTTAATTACCTGTATAGCTAATAAAGTTGTACGAGCTACATCAGAGAAACTATATTTTCAATCATTATTTTTACTGATGAATTCCAAAAGACTCCCTTCATGAAAAACTGAGTTTATGAATGCAGAAGTTCAGAAAATATCTAAATCAGCCACTGAAAAGATCCAGATGTGTAAAATGCGTGAGAAATCAGAACTGTACACAGAAAAGAAAACTGAGTCAGCTCCATTGACCACTACACTAATCCAACCCAATCTGCAGTAAATCTATTGATTTTGTAGCACAGAGAGGGAACATGTGATGGGCTGATCCTTCACCTGAACCCTTATTCTGGATAAGGGGACATTTAGGCCCATTTTTACCTCCTTGCCCTGCAACTGCTCCACAAGGCAGACACCAGAGATTTTCCTTGTAACCAAAATCTCACATTTCACAGGTGATTTATACCCAGTGGGACTGCTGGCATTTGAAAATGTTGTTCAGATAAGCCACATCCTTGAAAAGTCTTCAAAGAACCTGACACAGAACCAAGATGGGGGTCTGGGAGAGGGAATGACTGCACTGGAGACCACACCAAGTGGTCTTCCCCTCCCATGCCATAAATTTGCTGCTGATTCGTGGGGGTTTTGACAGGCAACTCATAGCTAAAAATCACAAAAATAAGCCAGTTTTCCAAATATTTGCCCTAAGCAACACGTTACCTTGGATATTTTGGTTTGAGGATCAAAAATACACCAGAGAAGGCTGCGAAAAATCACACGTGAGTTTTGTGCGAGCCAGTACAAGACACCCCAGATGGGATTGCTGTGAAGCAACTTCTATTTTGGGCCTTAACCTTAACTGTGCTCCCCTGAGTAGTCATTTTGCTCCTGATCACCTTCCTCTTCCCACACAAGTGTCGGGGCTGACTCGGGACCGGCACTTACGCGTCCGTGCTTACAGATGTAATCAAACAATTCACCCCCAGACACGTATTCCATCACCATGAAGAAGTCTGTCGGTGTGCTGATGACCTGGTACCTTCAAAAACACAAGCAGGTTTTAAAAAAATAGGTTATTAGGAACAGGGAAAGGCTTTTAAGCAGGTTATTAATTCGACATCAACACTTCAGATAAGAATTTGTTCGGATCTTGCATTTGCAACTGCTTTCCACTTCTGGAAAGCTGTCTCTCATTTCCAGTATAATCTTTAACTTCTCTGTGAAAGGACTTCTTCTCCAGACCGATGATCTTCCTTCAGCCCTTTAAATAATCCTCTGAAATATCTACCAGGCAAACTTACCATTTAGGACTGCCCTGACTTTCAAATTTCCATTTTTTGTAAGATCTACAACAACACCTTTAGCAATTAAGTCCTGGTTGGCTGGGGGCAAGGAGAGGATCCATCTGGTCTCCCTCATATCAAGAAAAAAGAAGATAAAAAGCTCTAGGCACTAGAGAGAACTTCCTCTAGACAGGTATGGAAACAAAAAGGAGACCCCCTAAAGTTACTTTTCAAATATCAAATCTCTCTAGAATGGGGGAAAATCCTTCTAGAATGGGGGGGGAAACCCAGAGTATCACCTTTAACTTGCAGATTTCTTTTCCATTTTCCTTCAAAACCATCCCTGAGTGCTGCAAAGACATTTCAGTGTCCCAGCTGGAACAAAGTGCCAGTGATCAGCTGGGGTCAATGCAGCCCCAGGAATTCACAGCAGCACCAGCTGGGACCTCCCTCTCTTTTATTCCAGATTCGTTGTCTTGTTGCTGTTGTTTTCGGGGTATTTTCCAAATGAATTTTTTCCCAGATGAATTTTATTATTTTACAGGACTGTAATTTGAAACAAAGGGATTTCTGCAACTTGTAGAGGCTGGCAAGGGAATGTGGGATACTCCCATAAAGATCAATAGCATCAACCTCATTTTTCTGAAGAGCTTTGGACCCAGACATCTAAGCTACTGTTAATTGCCCCAATATTTTTTTTTATATACATTTAAAAACTTATTGAAAGAGGTTTGTGTGCCCCAGTCTCCTCACATCTTTATCACTGAAGTTCATGAATGCAACATATATCACAGGACACAGATACGGTCAAACTGGATTTAATTTTTATTGCTTTGACAAATGTGTGAAGGGGATTTGACTTGCAGGATGCTGGGCACACAGCTGAGGAGTCTTGCTGGTGCTTTTTTCATGAAATAATACCAATCTGTTCTCCAATAAATCCATGGAACTGTGAAGTTACTCTAAAGCCAGCAGTTGCTGCATGGTTAGTTATTTAACTGTAGAGAGAATTTGTTTTCCCTTGCCTCTAAGTCCCAGGTATTTGCTATATCTCATGCCAGTTTTAAGGCTGACCTAAATGTCAACTTACCCTTGCAGTTACCATTCAACAGCTTTCTTTTATAGGAATGCCAAAGATATTATCGAGTGCCTCATTAATGTGGGCTGGCTGCACAAGCTGGGGATTGAGCAGGAATCCCAGAGGCTGCAGTGCAGGTGCTGATTTACGACCCCAACTCAGGTTCATCAAAGTGGAGACTTTCAAAACTTACGTCTGAATAATAAATGTTGAAAATAAAATAAAAAAAAAAGGTATATAGATGTTCTTTTAAGCTCTGGATAATCAGCCCATTAAAACATAAATCCCATTGACTGGAGGCCAAGGTTTCACTCTCAGAGCCTGACCATGCTGCAATTCATGGAATCATTGAATGGTTTGGGTTGGAAGGGACATTAAAGACCATCCAATTCCAACCCCTGCCATGGGCAGAGACACCTTCCACTTATCCCAGGTTGTTTAAAGTCCCATCCAAACCTCGCCTTGAACGTTTCCAAGGATGGGGAAGCACAGCTTCTCTGGAAAACCTGTGCCAGTGGATCATCCAACACACAAAAACTCGACCAAACACAATTTTGACTGCTCTGTTCCATCTCCTGAAGCCCAGCTGGCTGTGTGTGAGAGGTTTCTGTGCACACGTGGCAGGCGGGGTACTCACAGTTTGATAATGTGAGGGTGCCGGAAGAGTTTCAGGTTTTGAATTTCTCGTTTGATCTTGCCCACCACATCCAGGCTGCGGATTTTCTGCCTGTTCAGTATTTTCACTGCCACTTTGTGCCCTGTCAGCTGGTGTTCACCAACTATTAGAGAGAAAGAGAACATTGCAAAGTCACTAAACAGTGCAGCAGGGTTCACACAAGCAGCTTAGGGCACTATAAGCAAAAAGCCACTTCTGAAGGGAAAAAAAAAAGCAGAAGATGAGGGTGTGAAGTATTTTAAAGTTTTTGTCTCTTCACTGATTTCCCAGTGGAGTCATAGAAGGCAGAAGAGAGAGGACTTATCTGCCAAAAACACTCCATTAAACAGAAGAGTGAATTGCTGGAGGAGGTCATACCCCAAGCTAATTTGAAAGGATTTATAGCATGTAAAAGCTAGATTAATCAGAAACAGATATATTTAAATGGCAGTGGAGAATCTCCACCATAACACACTAGTAGACAAAATCCCTCATAAACCCAGTCTTAAAACTACACCATCACACTTCTTTTTTTTAAAAAATGGTATGGGGATTTTCCTTGCCCAAAATAGGACTGCAGGATTTGCATTACTAAAATGAATTTCTATTTATACTTCCCCCAGCATGCTTCTTGCTTTGATGACAAGCTGCAGGAACACTGCTGGACTGCAGGAGCAAACTCTGCTTTTAGGAAAGATGCAAACTTCAATTGGGTTTTTTTAAAAAAAAATGCACTTGGTGCATTGAGATCCTGATGTTTATCTCCTGTGTTCAGAGAAACATCATACCCATAAACTGGGAGGAGCAGCCTCACTATCACTGGGGGAATTGTAATTAATGATGTGAAACAAATTCAGCATGGGATCCATTTGTTATCAATAAACAAACCACCCAAAAAAAAAAAAATCTCCCAGGAATCAAGATTCATATTGAAATTGAGAGCAGAAAGAGCTTAAAAACTTGGTGTTTATACCCAAAAAAGGTTCTCAGAACGAGCTGCCCCTTCTCAGTAGTTTCCAACATAATATTCAACAGAGTGACACAGGGATGGTTTCCTAAAGCCTACACAGAAAAACCTGCTTACAGTAAATATTTGTGCTCTCTAATTACCAACATCACCCTTCCAGTGCAAGGAGTTAATTATTGCCAGCAAACCCCATTATTACATTATTAGAGCCTGTAATTTTGGCAGCCCTAATGAGCTGATCAGAAGCACCCGGGGTAAGCAGGAGGTGTGAGAAGGGCAGGGCAGCAGCACTCAGGGCACACCAGGTCACTATTCTTAGCCACCAGATAAGACCTGCCAGAGATTCTTTCCTCAATAAGAGCAGCCTAAAAATAAACCACTTTACTGCCCTTGAAAATTAAAGCACCACTTTGCATGTCCGTTTTATTCCTCGTAATTCTTCAAATTACCAAATGATGGAATGAAAATAAACTCAGCTTTGCAGCAGAGATGCAATTTAGGGATTAGCTGAGGGCTGGAGGAGGCAGATAATTCCTCTGGTGCAGTGCAAGGAGAGTGCTGTAAATAGTCCAGGGAGGCATTTTCCCTGGTGAATCCTTGGGGAGAGGAGAGTAGAGCAGTGGTGCATGGAGGTAAAACAAAGTTTTTTCACTGAACTAGGAGGAAAACCCTGATTTCTACCACCCTTTGTTTCAGGAGAAAGGCTTTCTGGCCTTGCATCAGCATACTCTTTGAAAATTTTTTATTATACACTAGGGGAAAAAAAAAAAAGGCCATGCCCAGAATGAATAATTATTGTTTTTAATACTATTGCCAAATAGTTCATCCCCTTTCCCATCCGTGACAAACAATGTGTAACTCTGCGAAGGTTTGCTAGCACAAACACATTAATAATTAAAAATAAACAGCCTATTCTGTAATCCATCTTTTGCTTACAGTAAGCATTAGATACAGAGATATTATTGTTTCTGTCCCCAGTGACTTGTTAAGCCTCCTTGAACTCGGTGAGAGAGAGACAAAGAGGGAACACAATTTCCTATGTGGTGGGAGACTTTCAAGCCTTTGAGGGCTCTCTGTAGCTGCAGGAATTTAGACATGGGCAGCAAGGACAACAACCCCTCTGCTCACAGAGTCACTGTCTCTGAAGCCCAGGATCACCCCAAAAGTGAGGGGCAGGTCCCAGGTCCCCCACAGGCACGGAAGGGGATCCCCACCCCAAGGGTGGGCAGTGGTGACACCTCCTTCCCTCTCACTGCCTCCCCAGATTCAAAAAGTGGAGACTCTTAACATTTGCTTATTTTTATAAAAGGAAAAAAAAAAAAAAAAAAGAGGAGGAATAGTGATTATAGCACCATGAGCAGAGATAATAATTAAAACCCCTTGACAGCAAGGCTTTTTACAGCACTTTTCTTTATCCTACCAGCTCAGGCAGCAGAAACAGTTAACATTTTTGCAAATGCTTCAGGGCAATATAGAAGATCGTGAAGGGGTGAGGAAACTTCTTCCCTATCAGCTCTGCTGGCCCTTATCTCAGCCCAAAGTTAAAAATGAAATCCATCCATAGCATATATTTAGCAATGCTGTATTAGTTCTGCCCCGGTGCCACTTGCTTGTGTTGTCTCAGCCTCTCCCTGCCCTCCTTTAGTTTATCTTCCCTCTGACACCAAGTTTGTCTTGGAGCAGCAATGCTACAGTGCCTGGGAAAAATGGGATCTGATCCTGGAGCCCGTGGAGGTGACACAAACACATCCCAAGTCCTTGAGGGACCACAGATCTGTCACTTTTGGGCAAAGGAGCCACCACGGCCCCCAGGGATGCTGGGGGTGGCATCACACACAGAAAATATCTGGGTTACTCTGCTGGATTTTGATTTAAGCTCTTCAGGCTGCACCCACTCTGAACCTTGTTGTGGTCACAGAGAACTTTTGGGGACCCACAGCAAACACAATTTGTCTCCTCTGTTCTTGCCAATCCCCAGGGAAGGAGATGCCAACTCCTTCCTCCAAGGTTTTGCTAAACTCCCGAATCCAAGATCTTCTCCACAGTTTTATTTTGGCAAATTATTCTGATTTTCTGCAAATTAGATTTTTTTTTTTTTTCTGTGAATAATCCTATTTTCTGCAATTTATCTTTGGCCTGGAGCACAGAGAAAATAACTGTATTTGGTAAAAATGCTGTGTGGTAACTTCAAGTTTTAACATGATGCCTCCTGTCCATCCACCACATCAGTTCCTGCCACCTTCCTCTCTTCTAACAGATGCTGTCTCCTCATCCCCATCCCCACTTCCAGATGGAATTTAAGTATTAGCACCAAAATCCTGCCCTCATCTGCCAACCTCATCGCTCCCCTCCGTGCCTTGCGTGGACTTTCTGTAAATGACATCAAGAAACGGAATGGGCTTTAAAAAAACCCATTTTCTTGCAGTGTTCAGCCAGTTTTTAGGAGGCTCAGTTCCCCCATGACCCAGGCAGTCAGGGACTTTTTCTGTCCCTGGCTCCCGATGGCTCAAAATGACTACTCAGCTCCAGCCATGAATTCAAGCTCTGGTTTGTACCCCATGTCACTAAATCCTCCCTTTCACTGCCATTTCTTATTTCCCTAATAACAATAATCCTGGACAATTGTAAATTATGATTTCTTAACTTCGACAAGTAAGGCAGCAAAAAGTGCCAAAACCAAAACCTCTTGTGCAAGGCAGAATTTGAAGAAAACACATCAGCAACAAGAAATGTCATTGATGGCCCCTGACTTCTCCCTGAAAAAGCAATTATTATACCCAACACACAATGCTTGAATCAATCAACAAAAACCTCTACTTTTCTCACGTGAATACAAGTTTTTCTAAAGCTCATTCTATTAAAATGCTGTAATTTTATATAAATGGGAGACTCAATTTTTTCATTGCAGTTCTCAGTCTCAAGCATAAACTTCACCTGTCAGTTGTAGGCAAAATATTAAGGGGAAAAAACCATATAAAGGGTACTGCTCACCTATAAAGGATTTTGAGCTAGGAAATCTCTTTCATGTCATTTGAAATATTTCTTTGGAAAATTGTCCGTTTTTACCACATTCAGGTCATATGTGGGGTAGGGGGTATTTGTGCTAGTTAAGGGGGAAAAAAGGCTATTGTTGGCAGGTTTAAATTGGTCTGCAAGGAAAAAACCTGCCTTTGGAGCAGTTTTGAGGTCTGCTAGCACACACAAGTGATTTAAATGGTCCTTACTGTTAGAAGTATTTATTCTGATAATTCTTTAGACAGTAAATTTGTGGTTTGGGATTAAACACAGCAATATATATCTTAGGGACGTGATTAATGGCCACAGGTGGACTTAGCTGCAGTGGTTGTGGTGGTTTCTTTCATCTGCTGTCCATTTGGGTTTATTTTAAAACTCCAGAAACTGAGGGCAGGCACAGCACGCCTTTGCCCAGTCACATCCCAGTAGGGTGGGGGGACACTGAGTGGGATATCTGCTCCCCCAGCTCAACCTAAACCCATTTCCTACTGGGAAACACAGCTTAGGCACTGAATTTTGTTGGTTTTCTGACTTTTTTAGTATCGTGTTTAAAAAACGAAATTCTCACATAATGGCAGAATCCACAGGGAAAGAAGAAATACAAATATTTGCAAACCTCACAGCCAGGTAAAGCAAAGCCTTGACTGGCCAAGGAATCCCTGTGTGGAGCCCCACCTGACACAACCCTGCAATCCTGGAAGGCTTTGGGATGGAAGAGACTTTAAAGTTCATCTCATCCCTCCCTCTGCCATGGCAGGGACACCTCCCACTACCCCAGCTTGCTTCAAACCCTTTCCAACCTGTCCTTAGACACTTCCAGGGATGGGGCAGCCACAGCTTCTCTAGAAACCACCTGCACAGGGAACAATTTCTCCCCAATATTCCACCTAACCCTGTCAGCACGAAGCCATTCCCCCTCACCCCACCGCTCCACGCTCTGCCAGAAATCCCTCTCAGCCCTGCTGCAGCCCCTCTAGGCACTGCAAGGTGCTCTCAGGTGGCTTTGGAGCCTTCCCTCGCCCAGGGGAAGGTGCAGCTGGCTCATCCCTGCAGGGGGATGCTCAGCTCCTCGGGGGGATGCTCATCTCTGCAGGGGGATGCTCAGCTCCGCAGGGGGATGCTCAGCTCCCCGGGGGGATGCTCAGCTCCGCGGGGGGATGCTCAGCTCCGCAGGGGGATGCTCAGCTCCGCGGGGGGATGCTCGACAGGGCGGCAGCACCAAGCCCCTCCGCTGCCGGCTCCAGGAGCCCCCCCGGAGCACTGCAGCCCCTCGGGAAGCACGGCAAGGAGCGGAGCATTCCCGGCAGGATGGAGGAGGAGCAGGATGCCGGTGTGAGCGCTCCAGCCTCCCCATCACCTCCGTGAAGTTTTTTGGGGGGTGCCGCTCGCAGCACGGGCTCCCGGGGATGTGACAGCCCGGAGCAGCGAGGGGAGAGCGCTGCATCTCCCAGCAGCGGGCAGCCCGTGTGCCCCGGGCACGGCTCCGGGGATGCTGCCGAGGGAAGGAAGAGGAGCCGGGGGAAGGAAGAGGAGCCGAGGGAAGGAAGAGGAGCCGAGGGAAGGAAGAGGAGCTGAGGGAAGGAAGAGGAGCCGAGGGAAGGAAGAGGAGCCGAGGGAAGGAAAAGGAGCCGAGGGAAGGAAGAGGAGCCGGGGGAAGGAAGAGGAGCCGAGGGAAGGAAGAGGAGCTGAGGGAAGGAAGAGGAGCCGAGGGAAGGAAAAGGAGCCGAGGGAAGGAAGAGGAGCCGAGGGAAGGAAAAGGAGCCGAGGGAAGGAAAAGGAGCCGAGGGAAGGGAGCGCAGCCAGGGAAGGGAGCGCAGGGAAGGGAGCGCAGCTCGGGGAAGGGAGCGCAGGGAAGGCAGCACAACCCGGGGAAAGGCAGCACAGCCCAGGGAAGGGAGCACAACCCAGGGAAGGGAGCGCAGGGAAGGCAGCACAGCCCAGGGAAAGCAGCCCAGCCCGGGGAAGGGAGCGCAGGGAAAGCAGCACAGCCCAAGGAAGGCAGCACAGCCCGGGGAAAGCAGCCCAGCCCGGGGAAGGCAGCACAGCCCGGGGAAGGCAGCACAGCCCGGGGAAGGCAGAGCAGACCAGGGAAGGGAGCGCAGGGAAGGCAGCACAACCCGGGGAAAGCAGCACAGCCCGGGGAAGGCAGCACAGCCCAGGGAAGGCAGCACAGCCCAGGGAAAGCAGCACAGCCCGGGGAAGGCAGCACAGCCCGGGGAAAGCAGCACAACCCAGGGAAAGCAGCCCAGCCCGGGGAAGGCAGCCCAGCCCGGGGAAGGCAGCACAGCCCGGGGAAGGCAGCACAGCCCAGGGAAAGCAGCCCAGCCCGGGGAAGGCAGAGCAGCCCAGCCCGGGGAAGGGAGGCGATGCCGCGCGGAGGCCGCGGGAGCGGCGGGAGGGAGGCGGCGGTGAGGGGCGCACCCGGCCCGGCCCGGCCCCGCCCGCGGCCGCGGTACTCAGCTCTTGACTTTGCCGAAGGTGCCGACCCCCAGCGTGTCCCCCAGCACGTAGTGGCCGATCTTCACCCGCCCATCGTGCTTCTGCTTCTCGGCCATGTTCGCCCCCCGCCGCCGGACCACAATGCACAGGGCCGGGCCGGCGGGGCGGGAGCGCCGGGAGCGGAGCGGGCCCGGGGGCGGGGAGCGCCAGGTGCGGGCGGGGACAGCACCGGGACACCGGGACACCGGCACACCGGCACACCGGCACACCGGGACACCGGGACACCGGCCACCGGGACAGTCTCCGCGGGTGGCGCTGCTCCGGGGTGTGTGCTCTGTTGCCACGCACCTGCCGGGGGTGACACTCTTCCCCGGGTGACACTGTTTGTGGGGTACATTATCTACTGTCACGCACCTGCCGGGGGTGACATCCTTTCAGAGAGGCATCTGCCGGGGGTGACACTCTTCCCCAAGTGACATTGTTTGGGGGGTACATTCTCTATTGCCACACACCTGCCGGGGGTGACATGGCATCCTTTCAGAGAGGCATCTGCCCCAAGTGATACTGTTCAGAGGGTTCATTCTCTATTGCCACGCACCTGCCGGGGGTGACACTCTTCCCCGGGTGACACTGTACTCGGGGTGTATTCTCTATTGTCACCCACCTGCCGGAGGTGACATTGTTTCAGAGAGGCACCTGCCGCGGGTGATATGACATCCTTTCAGAGAGGCATCTGCCGGGGGTGACACCCTCCCCGAGTGACATTGTTTGGGGGGTTCATTCTCTATTGCCACACACCTGCCGCGGGTGATATGGCATCCTTTTAGAGAGGCACCTGCCGCAAGTGACATCCTTCCAGAGAAACATCTGCCGGGGGTGACACCCTCCTCGAGTGACACTGTTTGGGAGGGTATATTCTCTATTGCCACACACCTGCTGGGAGTGACACCCCCCCCGAGAGACACTGTACTCGAGGTACATTCTCTATTGCCACACACCTGCTGGGGGTGACACCCCTTCGGAGCAGCATCTGCCACAAGGGACATTATCCTCTCTGGTGGCACTGTCCTCCGTGTGCACCTTCAGTTGCCATGCACCTGCCTGGGAGTGACAGCTTCTGCTTGGGGACCACCTTTCCTGCCTGCAGTGCCACCCTCCTTGGGGTGGTGTCACCCATGGTTCTCCTTGTGGTGTGCCTGGCTTGTGTGGCACACGTCAGAGAGGGGCTGGTGGCACTCTTCTTGGAGTGACAGCCACCTGAGGGTCGCAGTGTCCTCGGGGTGTGAGGGATGCCACACCTGCCCAGGGATGTGCCCATCAGAGGGTGGCACTGTCCTTGGGGTGTGTCCTGCTTTTGGTGCTGCTTCCTTGGGTGGGTCCCTCCTCCTGGTGACACTGTTCACCAGGTAGGGGAGCTGCTTTGGGCCCCAAGGACATGTCCCCACAGGAGGGATGCTGGCTGTGAGGGCTCCAAATGCACCCTCTGAGGCTCAGCTGTGCCTTGGGCTGGGAGACAAGGTGCACTTAAGGGACACATTCAGCCAGAATTCTAGAATATTTAATAGTGAAAGCAGGATGTTCTCTCTCCTGTGTAGAACATAAACTTTGTCTGGACCACGTGAATTGTTTACATTAAAAAAAAAAAAAAAAAAAGAATGGATGCTCCTGCCAAAAAAAGCAGCATGATTGAACACCAAAATCGGCACCTAGCGTATCTGGAAAGTGGTCCTGCCACATTTTAATAGTGTTAATTTGTAGCTCTTTGTTTCTCATTCAGCTGCACGAAGCAGCAGAAGGCAGTCACAAATGCAATCTGTGCTCCAAGGTAATAAAGGGCTGTTTGGGAAGCTGGAGCAGTGTGTGTAAACACAGGGTCCCCGATAAAATAATGACCAGCCTATGCAACTGTGCTATCATAAATAATACAACAGCAACTTAATTCAAGAAATCCAATAACATAAATAACTAAAATAGCAAGCTGGGGGTAGAAGAAGAAGAAGGTTGCTGTAACACAAAACTGTTTGTAGGATAATGAAACCATCTCTGTTCAACCAGAACAACTGATGTACGTGAAGGCATAAGAGAAACAGGGTTTATAAAGAATAAACTCTGGATAAGATACAATGCTACAATCTCCTGGAATGCCTGAGAAAGCTCTGCCTTCTTCAGGCAGCTGCAAAGTTGTCAGCCCATGCAAGTCTCTACTCTGCAAGCTCTGGGCAGTTCTGCTCTGTCTTTGGGGTTTGTTTGATCTCCCCTTCCAGTCCTGGCAAGCCCTGGCTCTGCCTGAATGCAACACCACACAAAGTGGTGTGAACTCGAGTGGTGTTTGTTTAATGGCTAAACTAATATGTTTAACAAGAGCTGCTGCATGGAGATGCACTGTCCTACTTGTTTCCTGAAAGCTGAAAAAGAGATTTTTCCCTAAATCTCAGAGCAAGCTGATGCCGTGTTTCCACCGCCTCTTGACACACAGAGGCTGTCTATTAGAAACATCAGATTAGTATTAATCAGTTTTTAACTCTCAGGATATATTTTGGGGGCTTAAGGCTTGCAGGAGACTCACAGAAAGGCCTTTGCTCAGCAGCAAGGATGTCCCAAGGTGGGTCAGTGCCTTCCACCCTCTGCACTGTTGGTGAGAGCTGAGAGCAGAGCCTGGGATGCTCCTGGAAAGCAGTGCCAGGGCTCAGGCTTGAGAAGGTTTACTTAATTTCCCTCTGGCTTTTGAGAACCCCCATATATGTGTGTGTATCTGTACCAGGGGTTCCTCATTTGCAGCCACGGGGGAAGAGAGCTGTGCTGGCAGGCAGGAGCTGGAGGGTCTCAGGAAAAGGCTGGGTGGGGCGTGTTGCTAGGAGATGGAGACTCCAGTGTCTGGCAAAGTGACGTTTTTATTTTTGGTGCAGATCGCACAAAACGGTATTTGACTGTGAAGCAGGGTAGAAATCTCTTCTCCCTGCTTACATTCATCTCTGAAGGATCTGTTTTGTGTAGTAGCGTTGCAGCTCATTTAAAACACAAATCAAATGTAGACTGCATAGTGTTCAGTCCAGCTGGAGGCTGGGTGTTTGCAGTCTCGGAGAATCTTTTCTTTTTCCCTGCTCATGGAGAAATCCCTTGTCTGAGCAGCAGCATACATGTCTCTCTTTAGGGGAGGGCATCCTCACATGCCTCTGGTTCCTTTGTGGCCAGTTGCCTCTTGTTTTTTCAGACACTGCGAGTAAGCAGTCGGGTTTTATGGGTTTGGGCTTATTAAATACATCCTGCCAGGGCTTGTCCTCTCTTCCTTTGCTGCCTGTGCCTCTTGTTACACCCCAGTGCCAGCCAGGAGCCCCCCCATCCCAGCTGGCTGCACATCCACCCTCCTCACAGGCAGGGACTGTGCCATGGCACAGGGAAAGTTGCCATGGAATACCTGGCCCTTCCCTCTCCCTGCTCTGCTGCCAGGGCTGCATTTACAGGAGAAATTAGGTCTGAGTGTTAAAACATGGGATTTTTTTGCACCCTTCTGTGGGATGCAGGAGCCCTGGGAGAAACACGGGTGGGTCCCTGCAGCTCTCACAGAGCCTTTGGCTCACGCTCACATTTTGCTGGTGCTCCTCTCAGGCACCAAACTGCTTTCACTGGATATTCAAAGGGAATTTTTTTTGGAAATGCAGGGCTAAGCAGCAGGATGCTGAAGAGCACCAAGGAAAAGCTGGATGCTGCCTGTTGCAACACTTGCCTTCAGTCACCATCGTGAGCCTTCAGAAGGGTTTGTAGCTGAACATCTCCAGTTGTGTCCAGCCTCCCCCCTCAGCACCCTGCCCCTGCCACCACATCTGGCTGCTGTGTTTTTCCAGTTCAACGTGACCAAAAAAGTGCCAGGGATGCTGTGCATCTGTTAATACAAAAGCTCAACTTCTGGGGCATGCTATCCAACCCTTGTAAGTGCCCTAAATCTGTGGATTTTCGGTAGGATTTGCATTCCCAGTCTGTTTTGGGAGGAGATAGTTAATGAGATAATGCAGCAGTGGGTAAACTGTGACACGTGAAATTGGATTTTTTGAATGTTGGAGAAACTGCATGCATCAGAGGCAGCTTATGCACATTAGATTTGTAACCAAGCAATTCCCATTTATATTATGTAAGTGATGTAATTTATCAAACCCCATGTAGCAGGCAAGAGCAGATGTTGAACCATTTGTGCTACAGTGTTGGAAATTAACTTTTCTAGAGGTGATTAAAATTATTGGTTGTTCAAATACAATCTTGTGAGTGTAATATAATGGAACAACAAACAGCATTATTCAAAACATGTAATTGGTGTGGAACCAGAAACTATTAAGGCTTCTTGTTGGTGTTGGGTGAAAATCTGTGTGGCCATATGTGATGCTCTGGTGGGGATGTGAGCTGAAAACTCTGTATGAGAGTGGGGAAGGAGGCTGGAATTTCTTGCATTGAAAATAGAATATTTTAAGCATGCACATGATAAACACCCATTTCATGAGGAGGCTGCTGAGGAGACACTGCCTGCCTGTGCAGGCACTGGGTGCACAACACTCCAACCAGCAGCAAGAGAAAGACATTATTTCTGAGAGGATTACTCCTACATGAGAATGAGACTTCTGGATAAGATTTTATTAAGGGCACAAATGAGTAATTGGATTCCTCAACCCATTAGAATGTAACAGTAATGAATTCCTCCTATCTTTTTATATGCCCTGTGATTAGTGTGATGGTTGGTTGGGGGTTATTTTTCAAGCAGATAGTTGTGGTTGGGCTCTATGATCCTAGAGGTCTTTTCCACCTTTAAAAATTCTATGATTCTCTATGCACTAATCCCTTTTATGCAGCCCTGCAATCAATCTTTTAGGCTTTGTCCACAAATATGAAATCCAATATGGGGTGTGAGGTGAGCTATATGGAAAGGTCAGGGTGTATTTTTTTATATCCATGCTGTTCCACCCTCCTTTTCTTTACAAGTTGTAGGTGCTATAGTTCCTACAGAAACTTTGTAGCCTCAGCAGCAAATTCTGGAGGACAACTTTTGCCTGGGTGAAGGCAAAATCAGTGACTGTGGGCTGCTTGTAGTAGCATTTTTATTTTTTTTTTCCAGTGGCTTTCCAAGTATGTTTTCTTTTAGGGCATAATCTGTGAGATAATCCCAGCTCC